AAAAAAATTATTAAAAGATAATTTGAGTGGGATAAAGAGAATAATTAAAAACAGTATTCAGTGTCAACAGGGATTGGTTCAAGTGGTAAATAGCTTGATATCGCTTAAGCAATGTCTCAGGTTCGAGTCCTTGTGTATGCAGAAAATTCCTATTGGGAGACTCGCCCACCAAAGTTAAGTGTGTGACGAGGGTCAGTCTGGATTAGTCATGGTAAAGCCTTGAAATCGGGAGGGTAACAAAAAAAATATTATTTAGTTTTTCTATTTTTCTAAACTACACAAATTAAAGTTTTTCCTTGTGTTAACACATAGTGAAAGCATCGATATCCATTAATTGGTAGAGTAATCAAGAATATTCATGTTATTCTATTTTGTATGGATTAAATACGGACGTTTGTCTTAGAATATAATATCTCTCTACTTAAAAAAGAAAAACATAGAGTGAAAACATTAACCACATTTTTTTAATTAAGCTAAACGTGATTACAAAGTAATATATGTTCTAATTAGTCTCTTGCAGTCGTTGGAGCTCAAACCTATGACCTATAGAAACAATAATGATTCCTTTAACTACTGAGGTAAGTTGGTCGTGTAAAGCATTAATCACATTAAATATATTATTTTAACTTGAAATTAATAGGTAAAATTAAATAAAGAAATTGAATAAATGAAAATTTGAAATTATGATTATTTTAATTGAGTTGAATTATATGTTTGTTTAATTTTTATTTTTATAATATAAAAATAAGTATTTTTTAATCTCAAATGATGAAAAAACATTGAATAGTATATAAAAAATATTAATTGCTTTCATTTACTTTAATTTTTTTTGTAAATATTTATGAAAAATATCTTAAAATTTTGTCACAATACAAGCTTGGGAAATTATCAGCATGACGAGACTAAGGATCATTTTACAAAAGCATGATTGTTGCTCTTTCCTCGAGCCCTAATAAGCCCAATCTTGAATTAGAGACTTGAACGAAATTAAATACTTATAATTACCATTTTTATTAATTGTTGTGAAACGAAAATAGAGAAAAGACTAAAATATGACTAATTTCATCCAAACAAGTTGAAACTTTATTTTCTGGAGTAATTATCCTCTTTTGACCTCTGATTGATCTATTTCTCTTCCTTTTTTTTATATTGAACTCATCAATTGATCTCGTCAAAATATCTTTAAGCTTATCTAAACTCTTTTGCTTATCTTTTGACCGTTCAAAGTCAACATACTTGCACAACAACTTCGTCAAAGGTGCGACAATGATAAAAAAATCTGTCGACGAACCTAGGGTAATAATCGGCTAATCCATGGAAACTATGGACTTTTGTTATACTCTTCGGAGGCTTTCAATCCAAAATAGGTACAATTTTCTTTGGATCCACATGAATATCTTCTATCGAAACAACATGACCTAAAAAATTATTTCGTTTAACCAAAATTCACACTTACTCAATTTGGCGTATTATTTCTTCTCCAAGAAAACTTAGAGAACAATTTGAAGATGTACATCTATTAGGTTCGAAGCAAAAATTCAATCATCATATGAAAGAAAAGCAACATCAAGTTTTAATATCCAACATAAAAAAATTCTAAGATCCCATGCATATCATACTAATTACGATGTAAAAGTGATGAGATTACGTTAAACGTTGGTTCAGAAATTCTTATGTGTTGTCTCTGGTTTTCTTTTGATCTCTAGCTCTGATATGTTTTTTCTTAAAAAATAGTTTTTGTGATTTTGGTTTTAAACGGGTGTGAAGAGTGATTAACCATAACCTCATGCATATAATATCTATATATATGACTTGCATAGGGTTAGGTTAAATCCATCTTTTTTAATTAACTAATTTAGTTATTAATTTAAAACTTATTTTAAATTAAATAACAATTTAAATCATATCCCTTACCTGATAAGGAATTTAATTTCAACCCAAACTTAATTAACATGTTATCTAATAATATTATTTATGAATAAAATAAAGAAATAATAATAAATAACATATTCTATCAAAAGAATACACTTCTTAAATTTGAATAATAAATAATATTTTAAAATATAATTTAAAATAATCTCGTTATTTTAAATTATTATCGAGAGTAATAACCACAACCATTCTTATCCATTCTTAATGTGTGACCATATATGTTCAATTAACGTTGGCAGTAGATAAAATCACATATGATCCTACAAGTCATAAGTGACATCTAACAAGACATTATGACTATCCAAGTTAAATGAAAAAACTCATGATCCGAGACAACCTTAACACAACTCATGTCTTAATCTTTTTATCTCACGACATATTGATAAAAAATCAGGCATGAGAAATGTCAACCTTATATTTCTTTATCTTCAGTTTCTCGATGCCCAATTGAAATGACTAAACAAATGATATTAATCTCTATCAACTCATTTGAACACAACTATGTATTTCTCAGTCTCAAATATCGAGGGACCCTGAGATATCTCTCTTAAGATTAGAGGGATAAATTTCATCTTAATCACTCACATCTCACTACATGATTCTTTCATGCTCAAGCATAACCTTTATAATCGTTTGATTAAAGATAACATTTGATTATGTCAAAACACAATATTCACCATATTGAGAACTGTAGTAATTTCAGGTCTAAGGATTTAATAACATAACTGTTTGAAATTAATACATAACTATAATCCATGTAATAATCTCAAAATGAGTATATCCAATATTTGTTCTCAACAAATACATATGAATTTGATTGAATCTAAATCACATATTCATCTCATGAATATCTATCAAACGTCATACCAATCTTATTTTATTATTGTTCCCACAATAATAATCGATTAGAGAAATTTAGAATAATTAACAACATTATTCAAGGATATTAATATACAAACTCATGCAAATGATGATAATAAAATATCTAATAATCAAAATATCACAATCATACAATATACTTAGGGCACTAATGGTAACAACACCATGATCCCCTCTGAATGAGAATATACCAAAATATCATTGATGAATACAACTATAAATTGATTCAAGAAAGGAGAGAAAATTTGGTTCATCAAATCCATAAATACAACTGGAGAATTAGTCAAATCAAATGGTATAACAAGGAACTCATAATACTCGTACTTCATCTTGAACGTCGTCTTAAGAATATCATACTCATTCATTAATAATAACTCGATCTCAAATCAATATTGAAAAATACTTTAACTTCTTTGAAACTGGTCAAATAAATCATCAATTCTAGATGAAGGGTATCTATTCTTGATAATTGATTTATTTAGTTTACGGTAACTGATACACAACTTCATCCTATCATCATTCTTCTGCATGAATAATATCAGCACACCTTACGAAGAAAATACTGTGGTGAATAAAACCTAGATCCAATCATTCCGCTAACAAGACCTTAAACTCTTTCAATTTCTTTGGTGCTATCTGATAAAGTGCATTAAACACCAAATCAAAACCAGGATATCATGCACCTTCGATTCCTTGCTCCCAGAATTAAGAACATAAGCGAGATAAGCTTCACAACTTTTACCCACCAACTTATCTGCCTTGACAGGGGCGTGGCTGGCGACCGCGCAGGGCCCAAAAAATAGGGACTCCGAAATCGAGTATATATATTAATTGTTGTCATTAATAAGTATAAAAATAAGGGACCCGAAATCAAATATATCTAGAAAATATTTGCACAGGACCCGACAACCTAGCCACAACCCTGTGTCTTGAGCATAGAAATCACATGAGAAAATAATTTGGGTCTTTCAATGACAATCACTAGTTCCAAACCATCCTTATCAGGCATCGGAACATGGTTAGAAACAAACCCCACATTAACATGACCACCAACTAATGCATACCCAAGATAACATAAAATCCACATAATAACAATTCCATCAAACCAACAGGAAAGATACGTCCCTTAATCATCAATTGACACCTCCATTGAACCTTACTCTCCAAAGCAATATCACCCGAAGCACTAGTCACTACCATATCCAAATAAATAGGCTCAATCAAAATCCCTAACCAACCATTAAATTACTCAAGATATAGGAAAGTGACGAGCTCGAATCAATGAGAGAATACAATGAAAAAGACTGCAATATAAAAGTACTCATGATCACATATTGGAATACACATAAACTCTAGTCAAACCACCAGACTCACTTGGAGTAGCTCCTGAATGAAACACGATCCTCTGTTCTGAATGCCTACCACCTGTGCCATTACTGCCTCTACCACCACGACCACAACCTTGACTAGGAGTTGGAACAAAAGAACTCTGCAACTAGGAGAACTCCACTCTCTAAGGACAATCTATCGTTGATGTTCTCTATAATTACATCAGAAACATCCATCAATCAATCTCCAACACTCTCCAAAATGCCTACGATCACAATGCTGACAAAATATCATAATCGACGACCTCGAAGATCCACCAATAAAAACCAATGGACCACTCGGTTGAGGAAACCGGACAGGGTGGGAACCACGTCCAGCACCTCTACTAAATCTAGAATAATCATGTTGCCTCTCAGTAGAGCGACCAAAATGAAAAAAAAGAGTCGAATACTCTTTTACCAACACTAGGCAACGCACGAACAGACTCAACCATAACTGTAATTTATTGTCATATGTCATCGGTAATTCTCTCTCCTTTTTTGCCTGAATATGCGAATAGTAGTATTATAGTACAGACTCAAAAGTAATTTTCTTCATACAAATATGACAACGTTATTTCAAAATACAAAATTACGGCCAATAATCGTAGGACTTTGGAATTTTACTTCGTGCTGATCATTCTAGAAAATACCAAAAGATAAAATTGTCATTGGATGAATCACTGTTGAATGAGTCCGTGGTCAATATGCTCAGTGCATGTTTCCATGCATGAATTAACCAAGAAAATATGTAGATATGAAGGGAAAACCACAAGAAATGATGAAACATAAAAATAATTAGATTCGAATTTCAAACATTGCAGATATCCATCCTGCCCTCTATTGATATATTCAAAGAGTTCACCATTTAACAGAAAAAACAGAGAAGTTAGTATAGCAGATAAACGTAGTTCGTGACTGACCACGCTGAGGAAAGTGTCTTCTATGGCTTTTTTCACATTGGAAGCATGGTGTACCGTACAACATTTTGCCAAAGTCAAAATCACAGATCACTAGTCCATAAGGGCTGGTCATCGTCTCATTGCTGATTTGTTGGTGATGAGTACTGGTCTCTCCCATCATACTACCAAAAAGAATACACAAGGACAGCAACCTGTAACATTTCTTAGCCCTCAGCCTTTGGGGAATGCCTCACACATACTAGATCTTCCAATTTGTTGCCGTCTATTTTGTACATAGAAACACCTTCCATATGCTTATAATGATCTTGAGCTTCCTTTCTTAAGCTCTCAAAAGGCATGGTTTCCCATTTGCTGTAATTTGAGTGTTTCCTCACGTCACTCATGTCTGAAGATCCTGAATTTGACCCACTTTTGTCTGGGTCCACATTACCCCAAACCTTGCAACTAACAAACTGTCCCTCGGCAGTTGGACCCCTTTTTAAGTGCAAAGCAGCTGCATGAGCTCTGCTTATCATTTCTCTACTAGGTACATCTGACCAGTCCTGCTCCCTCTTGGCTCTCATGGGAGAATGGATCCTAATAACCTGGAAACCAAGAAAAAAAAACATGAATGTAGATCTATAGGATAAAATTGGAATTAAAAGCCCACGGTCTTTTGCAGGGTGCAAGTATCATACACCAAGGCACTCTAGCAGTTGATAGTATGCTCTTCCTTGAAGCGGATTATGCCCTTTCCTTGGTGTCGAGAAGTACCTTGTCCTATAAAAAAAACATTGTGAAATATAAGCAAGAAATTGGGAGGAAAGCAAAAGGCATACCATTACCATACGCACAAGAAAAAAAGGTCTCCAGTTCACCATGATCGTAAGGATTCAGTTAAGAAAGTGTAGGAGAATATATCAACTGTTTTCTATCACATACTTGTAAATTGTAATATTTAAAAGTCAAGTTTTGTCTTCAACAATCAACCAGTAATAAAAAACTTATTCAAACCAAGGCTAAATCACTTGACTTCCATTCTTCAAAATGCAAATTAGATATTAAAGGCATTCTTCTTCACTTGAACTAACAAAAGTCGGTATATGATACTATCTTTAATAGATTTAAGCCTCAAACCTGAAACCAATTGTAGAGAAACCAATATAAAAGAAAAGAATTTTATATGAAACTTTGATGAGGGGCAATAGAGTCATAAGAGAGAATATCCACAGAAATGAGTAAAGAATAATAGACGAATTAACTGACCATTCAGTATAGCCAGGATCGACGGTGAAACCATATATATCAACAATGTCACACATAGAAAGTGCAAGCTCTATAGATTTCATTCCAGTTCCTTTGGCACCCCTACGTAGAACAATTCCTTGAAAGAGATAAACAGGATTTGGAATCATCTGTGATAGAAAACAACAAAATATTTTAACTTGACACAGCAAAAGTAACATACAAATCAAGTTAAGTTATTGCCATCATCACAAGAAAAAAAAAAACAGAATTCCTGGAAGATATCTATAGCAAGAACGAGTACCAATAGCAAACAAGAATAAATAATAACACTACAGCAGCAATCTAAAGGTTGCTGCAGTTTTGATCAGATAACTGATATCTAGCACTCCAAAATCAAATAAGTCATCATAGCAGACAACTTTAAATTCTGTTCCTTAATCACACAACCAGCCACTGAAAAATAAACATTTTTATTTCCTGAGATATGACTCTCACCTTTATCATATCATTAAAGTCCCTATGGGTGACACTCTTGATTATAAGTATCTCATCATCTGCATGGAAAAAAAACAATTATGTCACTAGGTTTTAACATTATATTAAGAAGTCGAAAGGACACATTTTCTGGCAAGAAGTAGAATATATGTACATAAAACAGATAGAGAGGCAGCTTTCTCTTCCCTGCAAATGTAGGTAGCGAATGAAACAAGAGTGAAATTGGAAGGGGAATCTTAAAATATTAAAAACCAATGCATTTCCAAAAAGGCTAGCATTTGCAATTATTTGTTTGGGTAATTTTTTTTCCAAATGAAATTTGGGTTATTGAATTTCAATGAGATGAAAGAAATATTAAAGAAGAATAGGGATATTAACAATAAAAAATGTCTATTAGACAATATGCAATATAAGTATCATTAGATTTGTTAAAATGTGTACATATTACTAATAAATAAAGATAAGAAACAAAAATATATTCATAGAATCAACTTAAATGATATTTAACTTTTTTAGGTTTATATTTTATGGTGAGCCATGTGAGTTAAATTAAAGGATATTTTTGGGGGGGGGGGACCCTTTTAGGTGGAATTTCAATAGGGAATTTGAAATGCTCAAATCTCCTGTTGAAAATCCTCATAAAATTTGAAATTCTCCAATACTTTCCACACAAGTACATTCATTTTTTAATTTTTGACATCCTTGATTGAAATGAAATTCTCCTTCAAATACTTGATCCAAACCCACCATAAGAGCATGCAAAATAAGCATTCCAGGACTTTATTAGCAAATTAACATTGAAGGCACTCACCTGATCCCTTGAGAATCTTAACCATGTTACGAGCGGCACCCCGTACCACAAGGCGGAAATCCCTCTTAAGGCCAACATATTTGGCATATTTCTGTTTAGTGAGTGATAAGAGAGATAAGCATTCACATGGACTAATATCAACATATGCCAGAAGAACAATGAACCAAAGGCCATGCAGCCTCATGACAAAGCTAAGGAAGAAAAAAAAGAGTGAAATTTACAACTAATTCAGTTAAGTTTAAGAAAAGTAAAAGGGAATCTAAAATCCTAGAAGAACATGCACACACGCATATATACATGCAGAATTAATTGCTTCTAGGATAAATCATTACTTATTAGTAACCTATCACATTCTTGAGGCAATGTAAAGGAAAACTATATCAATGCAAAGAAAAATTATTGAAAGTTATCAGAGTTCGATAACTCGGCTTGGGTGTTATATTTCCAGTTTACCTCATTGACAGGAGCTTCATTGTCTCGTATAACAGCATCATGACTATCAATTTCTTCCCCAAATGTTGTCTTTAAGAGATCACCTGAGTTCCCAACAACTGCACATGTGCGAAACTGTCGTGAATGGAAAGGGGGTTTTGCTGGTAGAAGCATATTAAGATTTTCTTCACAAAGAGTTCGATTGTAGCATTTTGCAGCTCCCCTACAAGCCACAACAAACACAGTTCACAAGCTTACATAATTCCAAAAGAAAATTATTACAGAAATTTTGCTTAAAACCAAATCTGAGAATTGGAAAATATAAGTCATCATATATGTGTCTAGAAAATCATACAATTGTGCAATCCTTTTTGCTGCATAGTCCAACCATCCGTCTGGCCGGACATCCAGATATTCTCTAGTCAAGACTGTTGTCATGTTACGGTACTGCATTTATAAAGGCATCATTAGGACAAAAAACTCGGTGGAAAAATAACCAAGGAAAAGGCATGGACATTAACCTGTTCCCACAAGAGAATGGCATCACAAATATCATAACTATACTCCAGTGGTTCATAAATCTTAAACTGCTCATTATACTGCAATCATAGAGGCATAACAATCAGCAGACGAAGGCATTTAACCCAAATGAAGAGCAAAAAGATGGAGGGGGATGCATTATTGAAAGGAAAGAGAAACGGACCCAGGTGCTGTTTGTGCCTTCAGGAAACTTAAGAATCAATTTGCAATGATCAATAATATGTGCAGTGAGCCCAAGTCCTCTATTTGCCTACATCAAATTCAAGTTCATTAAATTCAGACTTTCACAAAAAATATACAATTATTATCAGCACACAAACACATATGATTCTGGACAAAATCAACATTTAGATTCAACAAAACTAATCCAAGTTTTTTTATCATTATGTTATGCAACATGGAATAGAAACAAGATGGTAACATCATCCTAGCTTTTGTTTTTATCTTATGACTTGATTTTAGCAAGCACTTGGTTTAGGAAAAGTGACTTCCATCTAATCACCTGTAAGAGTGGAGGGAATGCCAGCCAAATAAATTCTTTCTGATAAGCAGGGAGGATTTGTTGCATAGACTATAAGGTGACCAGGGGCAAGTGTTGCTACACAACATTAGCATCTAGTTTTAGGTGTTCATTTTATTAAGAAATAAGAAAGCAAGACCTATCCTAGATCCTTGGATCAAATGGGGAGGATAAAACAAACACACACCAGCATTTTTACTGGATAGAATAACTCAAGAGGCCAATTGAGAAGAAAATTTCAAACCTAGCATAACATGGAATAAAATGGTTGATTGGGTTAAAAGGGTGCCTAAGGAGTAACATGCTGAATCAAAGGGTATAATGCAGCCATGTAAGGATGCATCATGGTGGAATGAATATTTACAACTATTAAGAACAAACAAATTTGCTGTAAAAACTTAGGAAATAGCATGGATACAGAGAGCTCTGAGAAATATAAGTTAGCAAATAAAGAGGCAAAAAAATAGTACAGGGGGGGAGGGTTAAAATGAGAGTATAAAGATATTTGTGAGCTATTACACTATTTATGACAATAAACTCAAATTGTGGAAAATCAATTTCATTCATACCAAGATGATCCACCATAGAAGCGGTTCATCTCTTGTGTGTACTTATTGAGAAATTTAGTGTTAGAACAAGATTTATACATGATTTTTATGATTTGGAGCAAGTTTATATAATACGGTATATGTGAAATGTAGTTAAAATGTAGAAACTTGGAGTGGATTGACGGTTGAGTTTTTATTACAGTAAATGTGTAGCAAGAACTGCGGTTGAGTTCTTTTTGCTCTTTGTCATAGTAATAGATGAGATAATAAAAGGCATTCAAGATTAAATATTAAGGTGTATGATTCTGGCATAAGATCAAAGAAGACTGAATTATGGTTGGGAAGACGAACTCCATAAGCTAGGGGGTTTAAATTCAATGAATAGCATTTGATCACACTCGATGGTAAAGCTAGATGTGTAGTAAGCCTAGGTAAAACACCGTTATAAAAGAAGATATTTGCTTTTAAGTTGACATAAACGATACAAAGAACAAGGTAAATACTTGAAAGCAAGATAAACAAAATAAAGAATGGTTGTAGACAATTAAATGGTTGGAAGGGGAGGATTGGTGTGCCGGACTTAAATATTTTGTCTTGAATTTGGTGATATATATTTTAATTTCTGGCAAACAAAATCTAATGAAAAATAAATAAAAGCTTCAAACTATTATAGAGAAAGAACTAACCACGCATTGTTGAACGCTGGTTTGGAACTCGGGTAGAATCCTGACTTCCTGGGGATTGAGATCCGATACCCGCACTTGTTCTTTACTAAGATCTGTGTTTTTGTTAATAGGACCTGAAAACCAAGAATAAATTAAGCAATATACGGAAATAAGCAATAAAAGGGGAAAAAGGAGAGAAGAAATACCTGAGAAGAAAGAAGATTGGATTCCGAAAATAAGAATAGAAAATAATGCAGCTGCACAAACAAGAGGGAGAATGGCGGATTTCTTGTGAGACGGAAACTGAGACCGAGATCTCATTGTTTTTCCACTTTCAATCCTGCTACTACTCTGTTTTCAGAGTAGACGATTGGATTTATTTCTCACTGAAAGTAATTGGTTGGTATTAAATTACCCTTAACCTATTCCTGTTCTCTGAGTTCAGAGGTCGTGTAATCGTGTTCAAACAAGCAGAAATGTTAGGAGTTAAATTCTGGATTGATGTTAAAACGAGGCCAACATCAATGAAAGAAGGAAGAAGAGTATTTTGTATTGCATGGTAAGATTGACACCGACGGTTCCACATTTTCCGAATCTAAATCCAGCCCAAGTTATCAACTTTAGAGAACCAATGCCGAAGCCCAATCCCTTCCAAGAGAATTGGAAAAAAAAGGAGCTTTTAATGAAAATGATTGATGAAATTGTTAATTTTAATGAAAATGAATTGTCCTAAACTGGTGTTACTTGATTTTTTCCATTAAATCCTTGTGTTTGTGATTTCCTTATGGGATAATTATAGGTTGAGTGAAATCAAATTTTTAGTTATTTGAATTCGATAAAAATCAAATTTCTTTACTTGCATTCAATCCAACCCAAGTTTAAAAGAGTTCCACCCGATTTGAAACTCGACTCATTTTTCTATGATAAAATCTACACTCGATTCGATCCGACACATATATGTAGATGCTCGTTTTTGTCTGGAAGCTTCGTATCCAATACACGATATAAATTTGGGCCCAGCAGGAGCCCAAAAGCAGCCCAAGTGAGACCCGGTTGCAACCTGACTCAAACCAATTGAAGCAAACATGAAATGCACCAAAAACCGGGGAAGCATCTACTTGCCAGCTGTCTCGCTTGCTAAACTGCTCAACTGGCTTCAGTCATATTTGCAACGGTTATGGAAGAGAGGAAGAAAACTGCATTAGTAAACCGCTTGTAAGTGGGGGTTTATTAACCATCACCATTGCTAAAAGAGGGGGGACCATTTTTTTTTTCAAAATATATATAGAACAAAATAGAGAAAACAGAAAAGACGGCATTTTTCGAGGACAAGATCAAGCACTGTAAACAAAAAAGAAAGAGAGTGGATGTAATCTCATTGCTTGAATAGCAATAAAAACAGAAAATTTCAGAGCAGTTTTTTTTAGCAACACAGTTTTTAACAATAGAAAGCAGTAAAAAAAAGAAGAAGGAAAGAGCAGTACACAACCAAAAAGCAAGCAACAATCATTTCAGTATAGGAAAATCAAGATGTTCACCTTGCTTGGTTCGGGTTCCAGCCAAATTTGAAGTCATCGGAGTACCTTGGTTCGTTACCGGTGATAAAAGACTATCCTTCCATTCAAAAGCAATAGAAAACAGAGGGGTTCATCAGCAGCAGAAAACAAAGGTAACAAAGGCTCTTCCCATAATTTCTACCTTTCTCAAAAATAAGGAAATTATAAAATAAACAAAATCAAAATCAAGTTATAAGGTAGTTTCTAAATCTGATTTTAGGGAATTTTTGTTTCTTTTTTTTTCTGTTTTTCATTCGGAAAAAATAATAATAAAAAAATATTTGGGTTTTCTTTTTAACATCTTCAACAGCCGTCCTTTTGTTTTGGTGAAGAAAGCAATAGGATTGGGTTAGAGTTTGTTTACCTTTAATGAAGAGGTTTCACAATTTGAGTCCATTCGAGCAGGGGCGACATCGATTAAAGGGGGTGGGATTCTCTTCTTTTTTCTGAGAGAACGACACTGCGCGAGAGAGAAGAGAGTTGAGAGTGAGAGAGATAACGGTTGGGGAAGGAATAAAATAGGTCTAGGTTTTTTTTAACCTAAATAATACATATATGTAATTATTAAAACAGCATCGTGTAGGTGTTTAAGGTTCCTGTTTGCACAGGGGTTATTCACCATTTGGGTCACGCAAAGTTTTCATTTTAATTCATTTTGGTCCTTGAATTGATGTTTTCGCATTTCTATTTATACCTCCATATTTTGAGCGCATTCCATTAAGTCCTAACTGGTAATGTATTTAGTTTCTGTTTGTTTATGCTTTTGACTTGTACTTTTACGCGTGTTATATTTTAGTCCTAGAATAAAATCTTTTCTGTTTTTTTAATTTAGTTATTAATTGTTGCGTGCATTTAATTTTAGTCACAAATGTTGATTATTTTGTTTTTGTCGTTTAGACATTAGAGTTCTATAATTTTGCATGATTCTTTTAGGTCCTAAAGGTTGATTTATTTATTCATACATTTGACCATTTAATATATGCATGTACACTTTAATTCTTACTTTGTTTGTATTTGAAAATAGTAAAATTTTGTTTAATATGGTTTAATCCTTATATATAGTTATTTCGTGAAATTTGTATTTTGGAGTTAATATGTTTTTTACTATTATTATTTTTTTGAATCACTTTCGTACATTACATATTAATACATATATATATAAAAGTTATAATTTGTGGTATTTAAATATTTTGGCATAACATCCACTTTTTGCATAATTTATATGATAGCCTCATTTGCATAACTCGACATATCACATAATTGGATTAAGGGTAATACCCTTTTAATTTAAAATTGTTTTAAGTGGGCAGTCATAATTGATTTGAGGTCCGTTTTTAATAATTTTAAAATAAAAGTGTATCCCGAAAGTGAAACCTAAAAATCGATTCTTCGCTTAAAATTTGGGAACGAAAGAAAAGGGAAGTGTTCGTTTATTTAAATTTATCGAGAAAAGGTTGTTATAGCTTTTAAGATATGGTCTCGACATTTGTAAATAATCGAACACTCTTTATCTTTCTAAAACGACTCGGTAATGTTAATTTAATTTGTTTGAGTGCTATTGAATGTTTTTAAATTTACATTGTTGTTTTATGGGATCAAAAATCAAATTAAGTTCGAATTTGTAAAGTTCAATGCAAAGACATTAATTAATCGACTAGGTACCGTTTTAGGGCGTTGTGGGGGTGCTAATCATTCCCTGCACGTAACCGACTCCCGAACTCGGATTTTGGTAACGCAGACCTTAACTTGTTGTTTTAATTAAAATTAATTTTTATTTAAAATAACAAATATTTTTGGGTGCCCAATCACACCCTAATCAAAGATTGGTGGCGACTCTTTGAACCATATTTTTTCGATCGTAAAGAAAATCCAGAATTTTCGAAACGAGAGTTTTTAAAAATCGCATTTGTTTTTTTAAAAAAAAATCAATTGAACGAGATAAATTAATGTGATTTTCAAAATCTCACCTTTTCACCTTTAAGAAAAAATCGTTTCGACAGCTTGGCGACTCCATTGGGGATTTTTTTTAGAGAGTCAGGCCGATAGTCGATTAATTAATTATCTTTGCAATTGAAAATTACAAATTCTTTTTAATTTGGTTTTTGATCCCTTGTTTGGTTTTTAATAAGTTTTGTTTGTATTTTGTTTTTTTAATTTAATTCGATTAATAATTAAATAGTTGTACTGATCTGTTTGCTAATGGTTTCAGTTATTTGTGAATTGAGAACTGATTTTTGAGTGCTTTTATTATGTGTTTTTTTCGCTTTTCCTCACACACTGCACAATTGCATTTTCATGACATGAGCTAAAACCCCGCTCCATCCTAATTAAGTAGGAGTGAGAGACTATGCCCTCGTGTGGTTTTCACCTCCGCATGGGATAGTGGATCGCTCATGGAGCTCACGCCTTATGGTCCTCGTGATGGTATTCACCTCCGCACGGATATAAGGAGGTGTGTTCCCTCGAAATTGAACTCAATCCCCTAAAGCCTGTGATGGGCTAGGATTGAGAGTTCGACAGCCCAAGGGGGTACCGACAAGGATAATTCGAGAACCTATTACTTTAGAACCTAACCCGGCATATAGTGAACGTAGAGCCTGAACTTAGGTTGAACCAAACCCGAACCTTAAGGATCCCGTGAGGAGGGTACACAAGGAAAAGCTTTTTTGAGTTATTTATTTTTGTTTTTCGAATAAATGCATGCGAACTAGATATCATGCGGTTAGGTTTATTTTTTGAATAAGCATGCGAACTAGATATCATGCGGTTAGGTTTATTTTTTGAATAAGCATGCGAATTAGATATCATGCGGTTAGGATTTATTTTTGTGAATAACAAAGCATGGGGGTAGATATCATGTTGGGTAGGATCTGATAAAGCATGATTAGGTAGCCAGCATGTGGGTAGGATTCTTGAACAAATTATTATCCCAACTTAATTGCTTTATGTTTACTAACCAATCTCTTGTTGTCTTTGCCTTGTTTCTTTTCTGTTTTGCATTGCACTATCCATTACATGGTGTTGATTTGCGATCGATGTCCATATAGAAGGTCAGTAATATGGAACGAATGGTTCAGAAAGAGGTTGAGGACAATACCGATGTTCTGAGGTGGTCAAAACAGTCCCAACTGACCAATGGGGACAGCGTGATACCTGGATACGTGTCGGAGTTATTTGGTTATACTCACATCAATGTGCGTCAGAATGATCTAAGTGAGCTAAAGGAGATATGGGGAAGATGGACAGTAGCCGATAAGGAGATGTTTTATCAATTGTTCGGCGATATTCCTTATCTTTTGGATGTTCCTATTGACTGAAATATGTTTAGAGCGTTGGCGCAATTCTGGAATCCGGCTTACAACTATTTCACATTTGGTAGAGTGGATCTAACACCAACAATAGAGGAGTATCAAGCTTTGGTCCGTTGTTCGAGGTCCCAGATGGATAGAGTATATACCAAGCTGCCAGTCACTCCTTCGTTTAAGAAGAAATTACTATTGATGACCGGAATGAGTGAAGATTGGGTAATCAGAAACATTAAGAAGAAGGGAGACAACGAGTGTATCTCTTGGGCTGCTTTGAAAGAAGTAATTGATCATCACCCTGATAAGATAAAGAAGCTTGACTTGTTTGCTTTAGGGATTTATGGGCTCATTATTTTTCCAAATGTCCTAGGATATATAGACGTATCAATCGTTGACCTGTTTGAAAGATTAGACAAGCACGTGGATCCTGTTCCAGCCATTTTAGCTGAGACGTTCCGGTCTTTGAGTTCTTGTAGGCGCGAGGGAGAATGACGCTTTATAGGATATGCATCTTTGCTGCTAGTGTGGATTCTGAGTCATTTCAAACATGTTGAAAGAGCACCAGGACGAGTGTTTCTAGAGGGGTTTTCGCCTTTGAAGGATTTTCTTTCTAAAGAATGGCCTGGGGGC